CCACGGACCGCGCGCGATCTTTCCTTGGGCCTTGCCCTATCCTCACTCCTTGCATGCACACATTTACACATGCACTCCACTTCCACACATGCCGGGAGATCGGTCGGGAGCTTAGAGCTTGTTCCGGCTGGGGACCCTGCTGATGTGAAATACGGTACGTGGTTGGGGAAAAAGCCCGTAAGCCGACAGGCACGTCGGCCCAGATATCGCCATCCGGCGAGGGAAAATTACCACCGCCCGCAATGAAATATGCACTACAATTACGGGACCAATGTGCTTAATACTTGTCGCGCCCGGAATCACAAATCAATTAAACAATAAAACAAACTACTCGCGGCTGTCATCGGGGTTTGATCCCCGACCTGTTCCAATGGAATTTGTGGTGGAATATGGATTCGCGGTCGGCTTGGATAGCCGAAGTCGCTAAGGCTGAAGGGTCGCAGCTGCCTCATAGCTCGAAAAGACGTGGGTTCGAATCCCCCTAGAGGGCATGAATGTCTGAGTGTGTTGTCCACACGTGTTTATTCTACAGTTCCCCCGCAGTTAAAACAATGACAGTGGTCGCTATATAGCGAATTGGGTCATGTGACCCAGATGTTAAAAAGCGACCTAATAGGAGTGAATTCGCGGCAGATTGCCTCTAGATCATCACGTTTCTCCTCTATAACCCTCGTTTACCTCGTATAAACTCTCGTCATCATTATATCATAATCGAAATTTAATCTCAACACAAACGTTTTATCTTAAAGACTCGAGGTTGAGATTTCTGACTTCGAACTGCGCCCGTTGTCGCCCCGTAACTTTCGCCATATGATGAATAACCCATGGGCATAATGAATGTGCTTTGTTCCAAAGATAGGTTTGGGGTGATATTACAATGTAGAATTCTTGCGAGGCAATCCACTACCTGTATATACAATTATGTTTGTATTTTGCGTAATCATCTAATGATGTTTGCACGTTCGGAGTGGTTCGAAGACCTCTTTGTACTGTCATTCATACAACAGTGAGACATGCAGACCGCGTGACCTTCGGTAGCATTCTGTTGCTAACGAATGCAACCTAGATGAGGAAGTTAACACCTTACCAGGCTCTAAGTAGGAAATGTTCTGGCACTTCCGATGCAAACAAGTAAGAAACACATCATTTAAAAAAATAATTTAAATAAAAATGCTTTAAATGTATATTCTTTACCATACTCCTTACCGTCAAAATCTTAATTATTTTAATTACTCTTTTATCATTATAATTACTGTATTCGTTTCAATTATTAAGTTATTGTTTTAGGAAAAGGGAACTTTTCTAAAGCAATAATCTTTTCTTTATCTCCATAATCCTATTTGAAGGAAAACGAAAAATCTTCAATTTCTGCAATTTTCGTAAAATTAGAGTTTTTAACGAACGTGATACCTACGCCATTCTCTTAAACGTCCTTCACATTATACAACAACAAAATTTAATAAAAAACGATGGAACTTTTTTAAAATTTAGAAATGTCCTAGGGACTTCATGTAAAGTACACCCCACAATTAAAATATCGGTTTCCAATTCTAGGAGCTGCAACATCAGCCAGATCAATTTGGGATTATCAATTTTGGAGAAAATCGGCTGAACCGTTTAGCTGATCGTAGCGTTGTTCTCAGACGAAAAGCTGTTTTGCTGTCATTCGATTTTGCGGTGTCACGGACCCACAAACCATACATTCTGACTACACCACGTGTTAGACGATTTTGTATAAATTTAGCAACTGGAGTTATCCACTTTTTCGTTACCAGCGCCCTGCTACAACAGTTTTTCTGCCGAAAATTCGCCGTCTCGCCAAGCATTACTTAATTTTCTCTGTACTCCGTAGCAAGAAAGTAAAAAGGGCCCATACACACTAGTCTCCATTTATCTCCCATGTTTCGTGAGATTTTACTCTTCCTCTGCTTCACAATGTCAACATTGTGGACGTTTGGTGTTATTAAATCGCCGTCACTGGATCACACTAGTATGATCAATAAAGTTGCATTTTTTTCAGATTGTTGTAATTCTTTTACAATGCCTTTTGCCTAACCCGTGTATTTTGCTTCGAGTGCAATTGCCCTTTATGGGACATACAAGACTAAATACAAATACATTTGCTTCTGGGGGAGGGGGCATAGCACGTAGCAACATCGGTATTTTAAACATCGATGCTTTGTTGTGGATGGAACGGCCAGGATTGATCGAGCGGATCATTTTCGGGGGTAGGGGGGGCATCATAGAATTTTGTAAAAAAAAATATATTTGCTATAATGTATATTCTTTTTGTAAAATATTTAAGATAATACACCAAATTATTTTTTAAAATAATTACATAATTCTAATGTAAATACATATTTAAATCAATTTTGTCAAAAAAGGTAGGAAACAAACGAAAACTCTA